AAACTATGGGGTATGTGCAGTAGGAGCCAAAATGGTGACCCTAAGGGAAGGAGTCTAACCTAGGAAAATCTGGGAAAACAACTGGACAGGATCAGGGCAGGAAACCCAGGCAGATCCAGGAGAGGGATTGGACATGAGGTGGGTGCAGCACAAGCCTGCAAAATTAGGAAGAAGATTGGTTAGTTTGAAAGGAAGTTTACCTCTTCCCAAACCCCAGAAGATATAATCAAAGTTTAACAAAGACCCCCATGGTGGCACCCTGGCGCACATGCTTGTTCTCTCTCCCCTTGGCAGGTGCCTGGGCCCGGGTGTGACAGCTGCCTGGCAAGATCTCAGCCAGGGCACCCTTACCCCTTGTGGTGGACATGCACATGGGGAAATGAGGCACAGAGACATTCTACATTTCTGGGCCCTAGCCATCCTTAACCTGATGAGCTTGGGTGCAGGCTTGCAGGGCAGAGACTGGACTTCTTCCCCAGCAGTGACAGACCTTAGCCACCTGGTTGTGGATGAGACACTGTGGTAGCCTCTTCAGGAGCATTTATGCCCTGTGTGCCCCTCCAATAAATCTTGCTAATACACCTCACATTCTCCAATGTGTAAGTCCCCAGAAATTCTTTTCTCGAAACTTTGCATGAAAACCCGTTTCCAGACAAGTTTGGCAGACCTTCCTAGGTCCCAGCCCACATCTGACAACACTGGGATATATGATGAGATTAATAAAAACTGTCATATGCTTACAATTTTAGAAATGCTAGTGGGATCTCCTCAGTCAGGAACAACTGCCGTAATAAAAGGAAAATGTGTTAGTGGGACACCAGTTTCTCCCTTTTTGCTGCTTATGCAGGGGTTGGAATTCAAAGTTTTCGAGTACTGAAAACAGAGGAAGTCTTGTAATATGTGATTTTTGCTATGATGCTCACCTTTGACAGCCCCTGGAAAAAGGGAGACCACCTAAAAAGAGAGGCAATCACCAGATGGAGAAAGCAGGTTTTCGTTGCTAATGAGCCCTTGTGAGATCAGATGTCTGAGACTTGGAGGCTGGTGATTTTCCGGGCTGATGTATGGTATGTATTTTTGAGTGAGTCAATTAGAATTCTAAGACTGACAAGACAGAAGGCTTAGGAAAGCCTTCTTAGACCATGGCGGGCTGGCCCAGCCTTGTCCAGGCTTTGCTGCTGCATCAAGAACAGCTGACTCTTGCCCTGACCAGTGTGGCTCAGTTTGTTGCGTATGGTACCACAAAGCAAAAGGTCGCAGTTTCGATTCCCATCAGGGCACATGCCTGGGTTTCAGGTTCAGTTCCTGGTCAGGGTGCCTACAACAGGAAATCAATCAATGTTTTTCTCTCACATTGATGTTTTTCTCCCTCTCTTTCTCACTTTCTTCCCCTCTCTCTAAAAATAAATAAATAAACTCTTAAAAAGAAAGAAAAAGAAAAGCATCTGACTGTTGAAATCTGGAACTTACAGATCCTAACTGCCTGGACTGGACTCGAGGTTAAAACCTGGGGCTGACGGCTGCTGGGCTGTGTTAGCCTTAGTTTTTGCTGTGCTGACCTGAGAGCGGTCTCCGTGAAGAGAACCCAGACTCTGGGGCCTTTGCACAACAGCACACCCCTCTGTGGGGCCCTAATTCATAAAAACATCATGGATGCCAGCGTGACTGTCTGGGTCATGATCAAATGCCTACAGGAAAAGACATTGCTCTGTCCTGGCTGACGTAGCTCAGTGGATTGAGCACGGGCTACGAACCAAAGCGTCGCAGGTTTGATTTCCAGTCAGGGTACATGCCTGGGTTGCAGGCCATGACCCCCAGCAACCGCACACTGATGTTTCTCTCTCTCTCTCTTTCTCCCTCCCTTCCCTCTAAAAATAAAAATAAACAAATAACATCTTAAAAAAAAGACATTGCTCTGACTGACCATCTGAAATATAGCAGCAGATCATCTCTCTATTTTTTATTATAGAGGAAGAAAAAAATCTTTTTCCTCTATCCATCTGAGGTTCTTGGATGGAGCCTGCAAATTAGACTGACAAAGAAACAAATTAATAACAGAAAAACAAAGAAGTTCAATGACATGTGCCTCATGCGTATCCATGGAGGCACCCAGTGATGAGTATTTCAAAGGCATGGTTAGAACTTGGGCTTATATAGCATTTTATCAAAAGGACAATATGCTTGTTGAAAAGAAGTGAGACAAAGGGAGGAGGCTTTGAGTTTTTAGGGGCTACAAATTGTGGGAAGGTAAGCATACGGAGGAAACCAATGGTAGATGAGAACTGGGAAGATAGGGTTTGTGTATATTCTTTTTGGTGCCGTCTTGTCTCTGGTAATAAGACTGTTATCCCTTCCTGGTCCAGGAACTAGGCAGGGGAGGGCACATTTACATGGGGAATTGATCTTCTGCCTTCAGTCAGATAGGGAGGGCAAACAGCTCATCCTGTGTCTGATTTTTCTCAGTTGCTTTCAGCTCAACATGGGCCTCGTGGTACAGAGGCTAGCTGCATTTCTTACTGGTGATTCTTGTTGAAAGCTGTGAGCTGGGAGAGGACAAATTACAGGGAGTATGACCCGCTTCTCCCACCCCTGACAGATTAAGCCATGGACCTCGTCCAGGTCCTCTCACTGCTATTGACTTCTTCTTTTCAAATTTCTACGTCGTCGTGGTCTGTGAGAATGGAATGATAGCTCGACTGCATGTCTCTTGCCTTTGTCCTAGTGTACACATCTTAGTAAGGCATGTGGTCTGATTGTTAAATGCAAGTGACCCCAGAAAACAGTTGCTCATTTCTAGACTCACCATATAAATGGTCAGGACAAAGTGGTGGGGAGTGATATAAACCCATTTTGAAAGTTTTAAAAACTGCAGGCTTTGGGTCATTCCTAAACATGATGCCTCTTTTTGGTTAAGTTGTATAAAATATTTTTCTGTGAAAACATTTTTTTCCCTCTTGCATATAACCTGGGTCTGGGAGAAAGAGAATAGGGGATAATTGAGAAAGAATGAAAAGTTATAGTTGTTGAACAAGACACTTTGAATTGTTCTCGGAAGCTGTCCTTCCCTTCTGGGGGGAATCCCCCCATTCCACCTTTCCAAACTGTGCTAGAGTGCTTGGAATTCAGACTGCTGAGCACAGGGGGCAGGAGGGCAGTGGGGGGTGGGGCAGCCCCTGAACTTTTCACCCAGAAAAGCTCAGATATCATCTTCACTCATGACACATATGAACTGGTGGTTGGTATCAGGGTTAAGCAAATGTTTGGAACTAACTGTCAGGCAGTTCCTCTAAAACCAACTACTCAACCGAATTTTTTTGGACTGGACTGAAAGCCCTCCAGTGGAAGGCCACACCCGGAGAACCTATTAACCTGTACTACCCAACTAAAGTATGTTTTGCTTGGAATACCTAAACAACTAAATTCTGTTTCCAGGGGCACCATATATGTTTTCTGAGATTGTACTTCTTATGTATGCATACGATGATAATGCTTCAGCCCTGGGAGGCAGCCAGGTCATAGCCAGAGTTATGCTATGCCGTCAGGTAAAAAGGATAGTACAGAAATTCAGGGAGGAAGTGACTTGGGCTTCCAACATAAACCTTAATAATTAGTAGGATGACTAAATTCAGGATCTCTAAATGGCATAGCTGAGGCCCATACTGTAAGATCTCATCCTGACATGGGAGATCCTACTGACAATACTTTGGCTTTAAATACACCTTGGCTAAGGGACCAAGGGGATGGACTGTGCAGAAAAGCATTAGGCTGGAGGCCATGATTTTTAGAAAGGCCAGTTTGCAAGATTGGCTCTTAGTTGGCATCTGGGAACTTGGATTTTTGGAGTGTTCCCACCATTCCCTAACCAATAAGCATGGTTATTGTTTATGCAAATGATATAGTTAATGCTGATACCTGCTAAGCCTAGGTGTCCTTATGTAACTAACTAGTCCCCAGTGGAACCATTGGCCATGAAGTCTCTAACAAGCTTCGTAAGAGTTGTTCCAATTTGATGCTGGAAGAATCAAGAAGATCCTGTATGATTCTCCCAGTATGATTCTACTGGGAGAGACTCTGGGAAACTCATGCCTTGTTTTCTTTATCCTTGGACCTGTGCTTTTTCCCTGTGCTGATTTTGCTTTGTATCGTTTTGTTGTCAATCTTAGCCATGAGTATAGCTCTACTAAGGCCTGTGAGTCCTTGCAGTGAAACCTACCAGACCCAGAGATTGTCTTGGGGACTCCTGATGTGACTTCTTAGACTTTGCACTGGAAAAAACAATGCAAAAGCTATTCAGCCATGCACCTCCATGTGGAGGTGTGAAGGGGAGCGAAGACGGGCAAAGACTGGCCAAGTGTGGATCTCTCTCCAGCCTACCCAGTTTCCTGTGAGGATTTTCCTTTGTAAGACTCTCCTTCCCCAGATGGCTGTTCCTAGATTCCCAAACCATGGGGACACTGGCTAGGAACACAGCACCATTCTTGGGCATACTTGGGATAAGAGTCTATTTCCTGGCAGATGCCAGTTGCAAGTATATTCTCACATAATTTAGTAGAGACAAAGAAGCAGGAACATCCAAACTCTTCTCTCTTAATCTCAAATTGGAAGTCAATGTTTCTCTATAATCACTGTGTGTATGTGTGTGTCACCATACTCAGCATGAAGTGCAGGGGACTATGAAATGGTGTTTAGCAGGGTGGCAATTGCCAAGATATTCCTGGGTGCACAACAACCCTGGTCTACAGCGGCAGCTGCTGACAGGGCACTGGGCTTGGGTGAGGTTCCTGAGCTGCAGTGAGAGTCATAGCCCCCACAGCCCTAGGATGGGCTAGCTACAGAGTGAGAGTGTTGTTAGTTCCAAGGACGAGCTAATGTGGACATGTTGAGAATAGCATGGCATGGCTGTAGCAATTACCCGCCTTCCCCCTCAGCTCTAAACAGAGACCTTGGGGAATTAACATCACTCTTAGTCACACATGCAAACCACACAGTCACTTCTATCGTGAGTTGAAATTATGAAATTTATTGTAGTATCACTATCACCAATATATATTTATTGTAGTATCACTATCAAAAATATACATATTACTCATACATGGCTGAAATCAAGAACAACAAGTAAAGAATACTTTAGGGTTGATCAAAAACTAGTCTTCTAGGCGGCCCAGAAGGTTAAATAGTAATGGGATGAAAGATGTGCGATTCTGTTGGTAGGTAATCTCGAGCTATGACCCTTGGCAAGAAAGGGCAGAAATGGGGAATTTCTGGTGAACTGAGTGCAAACTGAGAATTAATCACTTTTTGTGGGTTTGAAGCTCTGCTTCTAGTAGTCATTTCTTATAAGACCTGCAGACTACACAACTGTGTGTGGCTGGTACGGAACTGGTGAGACAGGCATGAGGAAAGAGCTCTCTAACAATGTACCTTAAAGCCTCATATAAGCAAGACCACCTAGTCAGCAAGCTCAGACTGGGGAACGCCTGCCTTCCCATCCTTCTTCCCCTCATGGCAGTTACAGGCTTCTCCCTCTCCTCTCCTTTCCCCCCTCTCTGTTTCAGCTCCGGGGTCAGGGAGCTCACTGAGAGGGAAGCCATCTGTACCCTGGCTCACTTCTGCATGGCCGTCTTCAAGCTCCGATGCTGGCAGGAAAAAACTGCTTATGCCTGAAGGGCTGTTCTTCAACAGGCGGCCCAGTTCCCTCTCAAAGCACTCGGCTGCTTGCTGCAGGTCTCCATTCATCTTGTGAGTTAATCCTTGGAGATACCAAGAATTTGGTGCATTTTGCGGAAGCTGATTTTCGGCTCCATTCTGTGGCTGGTACTTCACTTTTTCCTTCTCAGTCGATTTTGTGTTTATGGGCAGAACATTTAAATGAGGTAGGACAGAAGTGTCTTCAGACTTCCCCTGATACTCCTGAAAGTTGGAATAGCCCTGATAGAATTGTTTCCTCGAAGCCTCAGGGAAAGCTGTCTCAAGACATTCTTCTGTTTCCAGCTCAGTGAGGTCAGAATATGCATATATAGGATTTAGTCCCTTTTCAGTAGCTTTATTTGAATACTTCCTAGCATATTTCCTCAGTTCTTCAATCTTCTCTCTATTCCTATCAGCTTCGGAGTCCTCTGCGCTCTGAATTTGTTTCTCTTTCGCTCTATAGCAGCTTGCAATCTGCTGATCGATGTAGCCATTGTTTGGCAAGGATACAAGCGCCTTTTGAAACAATTCAATAGCTTTGTCTAGATCACCTTTTTTTTTGTAAAATTTGGCTGCACTGAGAAGGACATCAGTTTGGCAAGGGGCTTTCTCCAGGGCCTCTACCACCAATGGCTCCCCTTCGGCTTCTTTATTTATCTTTTGAAATTTCAGGGCCAAGAGAACTTTGACATACTGATTGTCAGGACTGAGCTCAATGGCCTGCTTGAGAACACTGACACAGAACTGCTTTGGTGGTTTCTCATCCAGGCGGTACATTGCGATTGCCAGCCCAGCAGAGAATTCTGGGTTGTTGGGTTTCTTTTCTAGAGCCTTTTCAAAATACACCTTAGCCTTTTCATTTTGTTTCCCTCCACACCTTAGCAGGGTCCACCCTTCTTCACAGTCAAGCTCAGGACACTCAATACTGTAAGGATTGGAATACTTCTTGCACACCTGTTTGACCTTGTCTGCATAAACCTGAGCTTCTGAGAGCCTGCCCATGTGGTAGTAGACCCAGGCGTAGTTTCCCCAGGTGACCAGACTTCGGATTTCTGCTTGGTCAGCATGCTCTTGCTGAATGGACTCTTCAGCTTTCTGTAAGCATTCCAGCGCTGTCTCATTTTGACCACGTAGGTGTTTGATGTAGGCCAACAAGTTGTACATGGTAGATTTGAACTCAGGGTTTAAAAATTCAATCTGGTTACGCACTCTATCTTCTAGATCAGATGAAACACTTTCTTCCTTAAGTAAGTCCCACGTGAAATGGCATTTCAGCTGTGGAAGGATTTTCTCCAGCGAGCTCTTGCTGACCTCACTGTGGAAAAAATAAACATGGTCACTGTGATGAGCACCTGCCAAGCATTAAACCCTGTGATGCAAATAAAGGTTAATTGTGTGTGTCAACTTGAATGGGCCATGGGATGCCCAGATATCTAGTTAAACATCAGTTCTGGGATATCTGTGTTCCCAGAAGAGATCAGCATTTGAGTTGGTGGACTGAGTAAAGCTGATTGCCCCCTACAGCATCCAATCTGTTGAGGGCCTGAGGGTGGGGAATGGGGGTGGGATACAGAGAAAGGGTGAATTTGTTCTCTCTGAGTGGCTGGTTGAACTGGAACATTGGTTTTTTCCTTCACTCTGACTGGAATTTACACTATTGGCACTACTGGTTCTCAGGTTTTTGGACTCAAACTGGAACTACACCACTGCAGCTTGCAGACAGTGGACCATGGCATGTCTCAGCCTCCATAATCATATGAGCCAAATACTCATAATGATAAATATCTCTCTGTAGCTCATTTACATAAATATATATACTAGCATTATTGAGGATTTTTACTGGAAAAAGTAAGGGCAGTATTTTAAAAAGCAGGTAAAAATGAATGTTTCCAAATTAAGTAGAAATGACACAAAAGGGTGTTAAAATTCTCAAAGAGGAAAACCAAAATGTCCAATTGTAGAAAGCCTCTTCTTCCCTTGCAGGAAGTGAACATAAAGCTGAAGATCCAGCTTGGTTTCCCTGCTGAAAATGTACAAAATCACTTAGAAATATTCATTGAAGTCACTCTCTATGAGCCCATTCCTTGTTGTAGGAGACTGCTCTGCGAGGCGTGGGCCCAGCTCCCATTGAGAGATGCACAGGACCCACGGATAGGTTCTACCATGGGGAATCAGGCCTGCAATGTACCTAGGCCACTGTGAGTCTTGCTTTTTGCTAAAACTCCCTCACGCTGAACTGAGGACATTTACTGCAAAGCAACTTCCTAAAAACCATGCTAAATCTTCCAAGGATGAGTGTAACTGGTCCAACCACTTTTGCCTTTTCACTTGCAAATATCCCTCCTCTGTGATGTGATTAACGGCATTGGCTCCTTTGTTTATTGTAAAAGGTAACCACCTAAAGCAAACCTGTGCATAGTAAATGAGGACCTTCTTATAATGTGCCCAGGAAGACAATAAATGCTCATTGGAGCAAGGGCTGAAGCTTTTGCTCCTCTTGAGAGAAAAGCCATGCTGTCCCTTTTCCTCCACCGTGCTTGGTAGTCTGTGTGAATGTCTCATTTCATCCATAATGGCGCAGACACTGCAGGCCGGTGACTGCATCACTTGTATTCAATACCTGCCTACTTTTGGAGAATCCAAGATGGCAGCCATATAGCATGCAGCTCCACTCATCTGCTCGCAGACACGGACTAGACTTGAAGTCAGAATTCAGAGAGGAGAGGGAGTGAAAGTGTCCATGAGTGAGAGTGTGCAGAGGAGAGCACTAGGCGTGTGCGGGAGTACGCAGGAACCCACCAGCCTGTGGTGGGAGCCTGGGGCAGCTGGCCCCAGGCTTTCCAGGTGGCCTGCCACTGCTGCCCAGCCCAGCACTGCTGGGTGTGCAGAGTCGGGTCGCTCAGCGTCCAAAACTACCAGGGTGGCAAGAGAAGGCCTGGGAGGTGCAGGCTTCAGAAACAGCATGTCATGGACAGGCAGGCCTGAGGCAAAAGACCTCTGGAGGAAGCAGGGACATCACACTTTCACTGCCTTGTGTTAAAAGAGTCAGAGAAACTTTATCTAAAATTGTCAGAGGCCCTGTAAGGAGCTGGCCAATCCTGACTGTGAGACACTGTGATTTTTAGGGAGAGGGAGTGTGTGGAGAATAGGGTCCCCAGGGACCTGCACTACATCATGGGCACCATAGAGATGCTCTTTTACAGAGGGGGCTGAGAGGTACCCTAGGCTTGGCAGGGGCTGAGTGTGCAGGCCAGTGCACCTGGGCAGCCAGTGCACCCGGGCAGGATGCAACAGCTTTGCTAATCAAAAATCTCAGAGGCAGAAAAACACTGAGGGGGATGACCTGAGCCAACACAGCTAGCAAGCAAAGGGCAGCACAGAGTGGAGAATTTGGGTGAACCTACTGTGGGAGAGTGGCCCGGTGTCTTGGATCTGGAGGGCAGGATCTGAATGAGATTTGCTCCTATCAGCCAGAGCCTTACACAGATAGGCAAACCCAATCCCCACCTGTGGGATTACAGGCTCTGCAGAGTGGTGAGGTTCAGGCCCAGGAGTTTTCTGCTGTGTACATTTCCTCAGGGGAAAGAAGGGAAAGGCCTTGCATCAGCACTGCAAGCTACACAGCTCCCCAGCCCAATTTACTAAACCCAGCAGAGCAGAGAAGATAGAGACAAGCACAAGAAGATGCTATATTCTCTCCTGCAAAGCTGTTTAAGATTCATTTCATATCCTTCAAGTTTGGGCATAATAAAACACCAGGTTTTACAATATAGTTTATTTCAAATCTCATATATTGCTCTTCCCTTCTCTTACTCCACACTACCTCCTTCCTCCTCCTTTGTATATATTTTTAAAATTCCATTTTCTCTCTTGTTATCACTGTTTCTAATCTGCACTATTACTATTGCTCCCCCTTCTAGCCTTTCAAAATCATTTGTGATTGTCATTAGGTCACATTCCTTTTCCCGTTCTTGAAATGCCCTTATTGTCTCTCCACCTTTATCAATCTTTGTTCATAGGTAGTGGATAAGGAGCTTGTTGTTATTGTTACAGTTCTTCAATCTTATTTCTAGACTGTGACTCTCTTTGCATTTTAAATCTCAAATTTCACTGTTCCCCTCTGCTACACCATTTTGCCTTCCTCCTGCCCTTCCCTTTTTTTGTTTTAAATATTAATTATTCCTTCTTAGCCAGATTTTCATCCTTTATTCCTTCTCCCTTTATCCTCTCAAACTAACTTTTCTTTCCTCTAGACATCTCTGAAGCTCTTCTTTCTGTCCTTGTGCCCTCTTATTCCCATTCCAAATATATAAATCTTAACTTGTTGGTTGTTGATATCTCTCTGGTAGAGACTTTTCTGCAGTTATGGCCATATTATTTTATGTATATATACATATTTTTTTGTTGTAGTTGTCTGTTTTTTCTTTTACTGGATATATACAGATATACATATTTTCTTTAAATTTTGATTTTAACCTAGTACTACACACTTCTCCTCTCTTATACCGCCTTCCCTTCTCCCTTTTTAATTACAAAGTAAATTTTATTTTCTTTCCTGCTTTGCCTTGTCTCTATTTCCTACTCTTATTATTGCCCCTCCCTCTGCCCTTGCAAAATCTCTTTTATTTCAGTTAGTTATCTCACATTCATTTTTCCTTTTCTATAATAGTCTTAATCTCTTTATACCTTTATTAATATTGGTGCATTGGCTGTTGATAGTGTAATTGTGGGCAGGGGATATCTTTGTGGGTGTGGGTCTGTTTCCTGAGCTGTTTTTTTTTTTTTAAGTAGACTCTTTTTAAAAGACTTTATTTATTTATTTTTAGAGAGGGAAGGGAGGGAGAAAGAGAGAGAGACAAACATCAATGTGTGGTTGCTGGGGGCTGTGGCCTGCAACCCAGGCACGTGCCCTGATTGGGAATCGAACCTGCGATGCTTTGGTTCACAGCCTGCGCTCAATCCACCGAGCTACACCAGCCAGGGCAGCTGTTTGGTTTTTGTTCTGGCAGCACCTGTTCAGCAGTATACAAGACATGGAGGGCGGAATGACCCTCAGTCAGACAGCCAGAAGGAAAAACCCACCAAAGAATGACACAACAGCAACCAAAACCCAATTACAACCACATAAAAGGCATGAAGGTCAGTGCAAGAGCACCAAGGGCAGGTGATCAGGAGATTGCACCACTGAGACTCACAGGTCTCCTACCACAGAAGAGCACACCACAAAGACAGGGAGTCAAAGCAGATAAACCTACCAAGCAGGAAAACAACAACAACAACAAGAAGAGTTATATAAAATAGGGAGACAAAGAACCCCCAATTGAAAGAAAAGGAAAAATCCCCAGAAAGACTACCACACAAAATTGAGGCAACCCAACTATCAGACACAGAATTCAAAATAATGGTTATAAGGACTGTCACTGAGCTTAGTGAGAACTTCAAAGAATTCCACAGAAGTTGCAAGGAACTTACTGCAAACTACACCAGCATAAAAAGGCACATAGAAACTATCAATAAGAGATAGGAGGAAATGAAAAATACAATATTTGAAATGAAGAACACAGTAGAAGGAATTAAAAACAGGTTAGATGAAGCACAGGATTGAATCACTGAGCTGAAGGACAAGGTAGAAAAAATTCCCAGACAGAGCCAAAAAATGAAAAAAGACTCAAAAAGAATGAAGAGGGAATAAGAGATCTGCAGGGCAACATGAAATGTAATAATATCCGTATAACAGGCATATTGGAAGAAGAGGAGGAGCAAGGGATAGAAAATGTGCTTGAAAAAGTACTGATAGACAACTTCCCTAACTTGATGAGAGAAAAAGTGAGGCAAGACCAGGCAGTACAGAGGATCCCAATCAAGATGAATTCAAAGAGGCCCACTCCAAGACATGTCATTTTTAAAATAACAAAATTCAAAGACAGAGAGAATCTTAAGGGCAGCAAGGGAGAAATAGCCAGTAACATACGAGGGAGCCCCAATAAGGCTAGAAGCTGACTTCTCAACAGAAACATTGTAAGTCAGAAGGGAATGGCAAGAAATATTCCACGTAATGGAAAGCAAAGGCCTGCAACCAAGACTACTCTACCCAGCAAGGCTCTCAATTAAAATGGAAGGTGAAATAAGGAGTTTTCCAGACAAAAGAAGGCTGAAAGAATACACCTCCCCCAATCAACATTGCAAGATATGCTAAAGGAGCTGCTTTAAAAAGATGAAGGAAAAAATGAGAGAGAGAGAGGAACATAGGTACAAAGGGGAAAATGGCAATGAATTAGTACCTACTAATGATAGCCTTAAATGTAAATGGACTAA